GTATCAAAAAAGATACTTCAAACAATGGGCATCGGCGCAGTAAATGGCCGGTAAATAAGTAGGTATTTTTTGCCCTGTATACCACTCGGAGTCACACCCAAGTGTTTAATAAAAAGAGCACTGCAGGGGTGAAACGACATATAGTAAATAGTGGCCATTCGCAAAGTATCGATCTTGATCCACATTAGTAGTAAAATCTGAAATTCTTATTTTACAGTATTTTTACAGTAATTGTTTAAATAAGCATCAAAAACGGCACTTTAAACAATGGATTTTGGCGCGGTAAATCATCACTATTTACTATAGATCGTTTCAGCCCTGGTCTATTATCATATGTGTAATTTATGGTAAAAGGTGTAATTTATGGTAAAAGATGTAATTATCATACGTATTAAATATAGTATGCACATTTTAATCATTACTGCATTTCTGCAAGCTGTAATTCAAAATATTGATATGCACAACAATTTGTTACGTGTAAAAGATTTGTGCAACATTATATGACTTTATGGATAAAGTTACGTACGTACCACCAATCGAGGACATAGTCACATAATTTATTTATTCTTTTTTTTTTTTTTTAAAGAAAAAAAAACTGCCATTACCTAAAAAAGATCGATGGTCCTGGAAAGTTCTATTTTTTTTTAGAATGGCATCGTTTATAGATTACCAGCAGGCATAGTGATTTTGCAAGAAATTTTTTTTAAGAAAAAACGTTTTTTTTTTTAATTAATTATTTACGTTACACGGCTCGTAATTCTCTTTTTCCAAAATAAATTATCGTAAAAAAGAAAACTTATGATTTTTATTACTAAATTATGCACGAGCACAAGCACGAATTTAGTTAAATTTATTTACAAATATATTTTATACTATATACGTATACGTATATAATATATATGTATATATATATGTATGTATATATATATATATATATATGTATATAACAAAATTCGATGGCTCTGAAAAAGCTCATTATCTGTTATACAAAATTACAATTTGAATCTAATTAACTTTTCATACCGAACTAGTATGAAATATAATGTTTTGAACTCATTATGCCAGGATTCATTATAGATGTTCATTTAATAATTAAATATGGGAGATCATAGTAAAATCCATGAAATTTGCACTAATGTTTATTTACCCGCACTATCCTATATAGAGGTTCAACCTTTTCTTTTATTTTTTGTAGCAAACATAAATAAAAAAGATACAAATAATATCGATATTTGAGTGACAAAACCTGTAAATCATTTCACTCATTGAGTGAAATGATTTACAGGTTTTCAATGTTCGTCACTCATTTACAATATAAAAAATAGTTAATATTAATTTAAAAAAAAAGTCATTAACAATAATTTATAGTTATGGATTATGCCAAATTCAGGTAGTCTGAAAATTTCTTAAATTTCCCTTATGCTTTAAATTCATTTACGTATACATTTCACATAATTTGTTGACTTAAAATGTATTCTTTTGTTCCCTTTTGTGTCTTCATTTTTACAACCATCACTATCGATCAGGGTAAGTCACATGATCTTGGTGTAACGTGTCACGCATGTGTCCAACCACCAGTATAAAATTTTAGTTATTATTATTTTTACTAAGAAAATTCTTGGCTAGTTGTTAAGAAACTTTTAATAAAGCTTTTAACCTGCTTTCAAAAAAATTCTTGTGTTTTTTTTTTTTTTTTTTTTTTTTTTTTTAATAAAAATTTCTAAAACTTACCTGGAAGTGCAGTATTAATAGTAAATAACAAAATTTTGTATTAAAAATTTTAATTAACTTTATATGACCTAAATTAAAACTTTTTATAATAACTTAAAATGATTTTAAAAAATAGTAGTTCATACAAACTAACACAACTACTGCCAAAAGTACCACCAATCAAAAATCCGAAAATTTGATACACCATTCGCCGTATATCGAACAAGGCCGAATTTTATCATTGCCAATCCTTAAGATAAAGGCATATCCTTAAGATAAAAGCATTAATTTTGTTTATCAAATTGGTTTATCGTTGTTTTTGAAATGGTTGATGGCAGATAACAATCATTTTGGTGAATACTGTGAATACTCGAATACTTAACTTGATTACCTTATCTCATTGATTAGAGGTCGATTCCCGATCAGGGTTTAAACGACTATATTAATTTGCCGGACATTGCTGCGCCACTGTTATTGTTTAAAGTGTTTTTTTTTTGATTCATCGAAATCAGTGTATTGTACACCTTAATGTTTACTATACCGACCAATTAATTTCTAATATACTATAGATCAAGAAGGACACTTTTGAATGTCCGGCATTTCAATATAGTCGTTTAAACCCTGTGCCCTGCCCGATGTTACGCACATACTATGTAGTTGTTCACCAAAACAATTACATCGTATGTATGTAAATTTAGAATATCGACCTTTAATCAATGTGCTAAGGTAATCGAATATTCGAGTATTCACCGAAATAATGTTTATTTCCTATTTTCAACCATTTCGAAAACAGCGCTAAAACGGGAAAGTTCCATTAAATAATTACAACGTATTATATCAATAATGCTGTTAATATTTAAATAAACTCGTTGACTAATCACTAATATTCTCTTGAAAGCCTCGAAACTCGCGGTATAGATTAGTGATATTCTTGGTAAGATGTCAAACTCACCGCGCATTACGCGTGTAGTGCCATGCACATCACGCGCAGTGATCATTGATAATAGATTATCGAAAAAAATTCTTTACAACGTTGGCAAAAAAAATTGTTTACAACGTTGGCAAAAAAGTTTCTTTTACCGGTGAATATTTAATTAATTATGGTCAAATTGGAGATAGGGTACTAACAGGATAAGGTTTATATAAATTTTTTGTTAGGACAAACAAGGTCATAAATATTTATGTTATCTGTAAATATGAATCTTTGTATCTATTTTTACTCTATATTTTTATTTTTACAAATAAGTGACACCAAGGAAAAATCCAGACTTCAATCATAATATAAATTTTATATGATACAATATAATGTGAATCCATCACAAACGATTAAACAATTGTTATACGTACAATAGTTCTTTTTGCATGTTATAGTTATCGCTGCTGTTAATGTACAAAGGTAAATAATTTCCAAATTAAATAAGCCGATAACTTTACATATTTCTGTACATTACCCGAAAATATTATAGCGGACCTTTCCGGGAATTTTAAAACTCCGATAGTTTTTATATGTGTTCCATTGGTTTATTATTGAAATACATACGTACATACGTAACTGAGTTGTTTTGTACGCTAATAATGGTTTATATGGTTACCAGTTACCTTTATTAGGCTTTTGACCTAAATAAGTCATGAATTAATTACTGACATTTGTTTACATATAAGCACCAAAGGTTAGGTTTTCATGACTGGTCGTGATAAATAAGGATGAAATTAAGTGCTTTAATTCCTTATCACCCAATTTTGGCGTCGACTTAACAATGAACCAATATTTAATCGTTTTAATAGAATAATGGTAATATTTCTTGAAAGAGCAAAGATATTACTAATTGATACTGTTAAGTAGTTTAACAGACGATTTTACAAATTAATACTATTCTTGGCAATGTTTCATTATCACAACCATATATGTCTCTTCGCAGCAATATTTACGCATGAACATTGATCAACTTATCACACGCATATAATATAAATAATAAACAAATTTATAACCCTCATCAATTTATACATATTACTCCCTCTCGACACTAATTACCTCACACATTCACATTCTGGTCTTTTTTGACTACACTTCATTCCTTTTATTTCAATTCAGGGGCTTGCCTCACCACATAATTGCACCAGATTTCCGCTTATTATTAATTCCATTATTTCCTAGTCGTTCGGTTTTTCCTTTAGTTTTTAATTTTTTAATCTTATATCTTTTATATACTTTCAAAATTTTCTACTATTTAATCTTAGAATAAAAAAAAAAAAAAGAAAAATCTGATTTCATGTAATCCAGTATAAGAGTAGTCATCATACATTTCACTTTTTGAACAATCCATGCCACTACAACTTCATCATATCATATTAAAATGGTTATTCATAATATTTGTTTTACTATCGTTATATTTTCAATCAATCTCGTCATATCCAAATCCAGTCCTTTATGTTGATCCTCGTTTCGGCCATACTGCAACTCTTATAAGAGATACTATATATTTTGTAGGTGGCAGAACAAATGATAATGTTTTTACTATTGATTTTATTAGTCTTAACATATCCCTCGAGTTCCCAATAAATTTACCTCCATGGATGGAACTTGATTCTACAGGAGTGCCAAGAACTGTTTTCCATTCTGCTGTAGCCGGTGGAATAAATAATTCGAAAATTGTGGTTTATGGTGGCACCGTAACTGATCCTGCTTCTGCTGCTATGACAAGTTTAATAGTTTATGATCCGTCAACTAGTTTATGGAATTCGATAACAATTCCTTCAACTCCACCAAGACGACATGATCATTCGGCTGCTATATTACCAGACAATAATATGTTGATTTTTGGTGGTGAAATTAATCCCACAATTGACATTTTAACTAGTTTTGACGTTGGCGAGCTATGGGGATTTAACACTATTTCCTTGTCCGAATGGCAAGGTTTTCCATATTTGGCTAATTCTCCTGGAATAAGAGTGCGCCATACTGCTAGTGTTATAGGGAACAAGATGATTATTTTGGGTGGTTTCGATGAAAAATCACTTTTTGTCACTATGAATAATATATATGTTTTTGACTCTGAAAATGTTAATTGGTCTTTAATTAATGCCACTGGTCAAGTTCCTTCACCAAGAAGTAGGCACTCAGCTGTTGGTATGTATTTATAACTTCAATTAAATCAAAATAATTACAATATTTGTAATTTATTGATTTCATACAGTATCGTAATTTTCATAATTTATTAATTTCAATTTGGGTTATCAACAATTGTTGTTGCTTAAGTTGAAATCGGCTGAAGCTGAGACTTGTTCTTGTGGAATACTTTTCTACAAATGAGTGTTGCCAAATGAAAACCCGAAAATCTAAAAATAGATCACTCATGAAATTCATAAGTGATTTATTTTTGGATTTCCGAGTTTTCATTTGGCGACACTCAGATATTTCTGTTTCCTCAATTCATTTATTTTCGCATAGCTTCTCATATAGCTTCTCATATTGGTATTTCATTGCTTTTCATCTTGGCACTTCATAGAGTATCCATAAGACGCCATTTCGCTGAATTTTTTATATAAAATAAAATTTTTCAGACAAAAAGTATTAGTTGGGAATATAAATGGGTTTTAATAAGGTTTATTATAGATTCAAATATGGATACCTTGATTCTCAGCTTTAGCCATCAATCGTGACAATAATTTTTATTCCTCTTATATAAATAAATTTACTAACATATACATATATATATATATATATATATATAGTATTAAATGATTCTATTATAATATACGGCGGATCTGGTGGAGGTAATGGTACTATTTTTGGAGACGTTGCAGTTCTTGACACAAAGTATTGGAATTGGGTTGCACCTACTACTATTAACCCACCTGCAGGTCGATTTCAACATACAGCAACAATCGTCGGTGCAAATATGATTATTGCATTTGGTATGATTTCAATGATTAATTTCAATTGTTGATAATTTTTTTTATAACCATAAAAATTTTTAAAATTTGAATTTGAAATTTTTTAAACGTGTCTAGGAAGAACTGGAGCTACACAAGGTCTTGATAATCGTATATATTGTTTAAATTTATTAAACTGGACATGGGTAGATAGATATGTTCCACAACCTTTTCCTAATAAACCTCTAGTAAAACCACCACCTTCAACTCAAACTCCATATCCAACACCAAAATCTTCAGACTCACCTATTGTTCAAGTAATAAGCATATCCAAGGAATTAGCTATAGGATTATTGGTTTTATTAATATTAATTTGTTTGTCGATGATATCATTTTTAATTTATTACATTCATCATCGACGTAAAATATCAAATGGTTCAATATTAGTAGGAATTCCATATTCAAGAACAGTTCCACAAAATAATAATGATAATAATAATAATCCCACAACACCAAGATCAAGACAAAGTCGACTTAGTCGAATTAGTATCTTTTCAAATTTATTCCGTTTTAATGATAGTAATGATGGTGATGGTTCAAATCAATCAGATAGTGATGAACAATCAGCTCAACCACAAAATTCAATATTTGCTAATAGATTACTTGGAAATACTAGTGATAATGATATTAGACCTTCTGATCCTGAAAATGGAAGAAGACGTAGTGTAAAATTTAGTGAAAATAATGTAACTATACCTGTTGTATACACAAAAGGACATCATCCTCAAGGAAGTGTAGAAGTTGAACTTGGTAATACTGATGATATAAATGGAAGCGAGTCTAGTAGTGATCTATTAGAAGATAATAGGAGGATTCAACGACAGAGCCCATTAAGATATGAAACTAACATTGATGTTGATGATGATTATGAGAATGATGATGATGAGAATGATTATGATGATGATAATAGTTCACAAAGTAGTAATATCATAAACATTGGTAGAGGTTTGGACGTTCAAATGCAACCTCATGATGGTGCATCGGTGGTATCAAGAAATGAATTAAGAGTTGTTAATCCGGACCCTAATAATCCGGATATTACTGATCAAGAAGACAATTAATTGCATAATTTCATGGACATTTGGTGTTATTCAACAGAATTCTTTTGAAAAAAATTATAAATATGGAGGGAAAAGGGGGGCATTAATCAATATTCACTTGTATTTATAAAACATATCTTATATCTTTTTAGAAAAATAGATATTTAGAAAACCTTTTTTTAATTATTGCCGGTCACCTTAAAACTGTAATAAATTAACCTGTACTGTACATTATTGATAATGTAATTTTTCTTTCTTGTAATTATCATGAAATCATTCTACTTCAAAATTAAAAAAAAAAACATATTTTAACAAAATTTTCTTTTTTTAAATATATATATATTAATAAAAAAAAAAAACACGGTATGCATACAAGTTATGTGTTTCGTCTTAATATTAAAGCTTGAAAGTATCGCAATGCAGGAATAAACATTACGTGAACGCCTAAAACGTAAAAAAAAACCAACAGTACAAGATGAAATGTAAAATGAAGAGTACGTATTTTATATCATTTAATGATTGGTTCATAGTTCCGAACCGAATTATAAGACCCTAGCGTCACTACCCTAAAAAATTTCGCTATAAAAAATTTCGCTGTTATGATTAGGTTTTGCTATTATGTTAGATTAGAAAGAATTTCCTAGCACCAAAAATTCGCAAGAAAAAACTTTTCATTAGTGCGCAGAAGGTAGTTTCATAGGTAAAATGTTGATCTATGAACGATTTTATGGTTTGTTTTGATTTTCGCGTTTCAACTGATCCTGAAATCTGATTGGCCAGCGAAATTTTTTAGAGTCGTGACGCGAGGAAAAAATTGGGGGTGTCAGTGGAAACCAAGCAAATTGTTTCTAAATAATTTTTTTTTAAACTTTAAATTAAAATATCTCAACAACTATTAAATCAAACTTGATAAAAAAATGGTTTATTTTAATTCTATATAGTTATAGAATTAAAATAAAAAATCTGATTTAATAGTTGTTGAGATATTTTAATTTAAAAATTTAAAAACTTACTAAAAACAATTTGCTTGGTTTCTATTGACACCCCATAAGTTGATTTAGTATCTGATCTTATTAGCCAATCAAAGTATGCTTTATATATCATATGAGTGTCGCTAAAAGAAAACCCGAAAATTTAAATATGTCATATTTAAATTTTCGGGGTTTTTTTTAGCGACACTCATATGACAAGGGCATGCCCTTAGGGTAGGGATGGTAAAAAAAACATTTTTCA